CGCCCGTGCCCTCGCCTCCTGCTCGGCTGTCACACAGGGCAGCCCTCGCGGGATGCCCTCGGGGTGGAGGAAGGATATCTCTCCTCATCTCCTGCTGGCATCCTTTATGCGTCCTACAGTTTCGCAGTGAGACGAGGAGGAGATCTTGGCTCGCCAGAGAGGCAGCTCTCCCTGGATTTGTCCGGGTTGAAAGACCTGTGTCCCCTTGTCCCCTCAGCCAGGAGACACAAATCACCATGAGCCATTCCCCCACATCTCCCTCCAGCCAAAGCAGCTCACAGCCTTTCTATCTCAGCTTGTTTTGTCGACACAACCTGCTGAGAACAGGATCAGTGTGAGTGTGATTGGCAGGAGCTCTGGCTAAGGGTACGACGGACTGATGTAACCAAGATTAGGACGTCACTCAGTTATTAATAATAATAATAATTATTATTATTGGCAAGTGAGCTATTTCCTTGCAAAGCCCTGTCCTGGAGCTATGGAGTCAGTGACGATGCATGTCGCTCGGATGGGAGGCTGGCAGGTGCCCTCCTGGCTGCCTCTTTCCAGCCTGTTGTAATTACCAAAATGCACCTTTCCCCCCTGACAGCCTTGTGAAGATAAGGGGGAGAGAAGCCATGGATAACTTTTGTGACAAATTAGGAAAGGATACTTGAACAATTATTGTACCTTTCCAAAAGTATCATTACAGCATTACATTTCCACTGGAGGCGACCATTCCCCCCACTGCAGTCATTGCAAAGCAGTCATTTAATGCTTCGTTCAGTCTGCAGCGTAAACCAGCCCCTTCCCTTTCTAATAGAAGTGGCAATGGTTGAGAGAAAGAGGGAGTTTTCTACCAAAGCTCGCTCTGCCTGTCCAGAAAGAAATATTCTGATCTTTAATAGTCTCTTCTGTCTCGAGCAATCTATGGTAAGGGCAAAAGCAATAAATAGTGCAAGGGCAAGGGAAACTCTCTTGTAATTATTATAGATGGGAGCTGCTTCCTGGCTCTCTATATTTTGTTACAGCTAGGGAGTAGTTTAGAGGTTCTGGATCCGAGTGTTGAAAGGTTTTAGATGCAGACAGTGCCTGGGCTCCAGCTGCATTTCTGCCTAAAAGCCCTGGCCAAGCCTGCTCCTGCTGTGCACTCACACCCAGCTCACCGCACGCAGGCAGCAAGGAGGGGGGATCGCCTCGAGCTGCCATTTATCGGGGCAGGTGAACATGTGGGAACCCAAGCGTGGGAGGGGGAGTAGAGAGGCACGAGCAGGCTGCCATGCTGATTAATCTGTGATGCAAAACCCACATGCACTTGCTTGGGAGAGCTGCCAGCCGGCTGCTCTGGGGAGAGACGCTTGCGTGCCCCCACCGGGGTGCAGGGCAGGCCCGTGGCTCGGAGAGGGCTTCCCGCCGGGCACCCTGCCTTTGGGGTCCTCATCGATGTAACATGGAAATCCTTGAATTAGGAGGAAAGGCCAGAGCGCT